AACTAGAGTTATGGATGATTGTGAGACATCATGTGGATGCTGGGAACTGATGCTGTTCTTGCCTCTGCAAGAACAAGTGCTCTTATCTGCTGAGTCATCTCTCCAGGGTTTCACTACCTTTTTTAAAAAGCAAAATTTCAAACTGGGCTTGATGGTGCACACCTTCAGACACAGAACTCAGGCGGCAGAGACAGGTGGGTTCCCACGAGCTCCAGGCTGGTCTGGTCTATATAATTATTTCCATGCCTACTAGGACTACATAGAGAGACCCTGTCTATAAAAGTGGGTGTGTGGGGCCCCGGGCAATGATGGCGCACACTTTTAATCCCAGCACTCAAGAGGCAAAGGCAGGCGAATCTCAGTGAGTTTGAGGCTAGCCTGATCTACAAGAGCTACTTCCAAGGCAGCTAGGACTGTTACACAGAGAAACCCTATCTTGAAAAACCAAATAAATAAATAAATAAAAATAAATGGTGTGTGTGTTATATTAGTATGTTTTAAAGTCTCTCAGCTTTAATTTCTAATATAATAGATGTTAATATAGTCCTCACAGACAGTAGCTCCTGAGAGCTAGCTATGGCTCATTTGCCTCCCAAGTGCTGGGATTAATGGCATGTGCCACTACATCTGGCTGTTGTAGTAGTTTGAGACCTTGTAGACAGAGCTGTTCTTCCTCTGGCAATTTCTAACCCCGCCTTTGTTGTAGAGCAGGTCACCACCCATTCAAGTTTTCTCAAATCTCTGCCTGTACCAGTACCACATTGTCTTAAATATCACCACAGCATAATCAGCCCTGCTAAGGCCGCTTGTTCTATCTTTCAACTGTGTTGGTCTTATGCCCTTTATTCCTGCATAACAATAGCAGGCCAAGAGCTGTCAAAGGGAGAATAGTTATCTGCAAATGATGGCAGAACCTTGCTCCCAAATCCCAAAGGTCTCTAATTCACCTATAGGGGTCTGTCAGAGGCTCCAAACAGCATCCCTGTCTGTCACTGACACCTCAGGTACCATGGGGTCTACTGGATCATACGGTCCGAGTGGCAGAGAAGCCTGTAGAGAAGCCTGGAAGAGCCTTCTCTCCAGGCCCCAGAAAGCTAGCAGCTTTCTGCGTCACTTGGTCTATGGGCTGGAGAATACACCCAAGCAAGGAATGTGCTGCCTCCAGACTCCAAAGAGGCCTCTAAGTCTTGTTCTTTTTCTCTCTGTGGTGTTGGGGGCCAGGTGCAATCACACCCTTTACTGCAGGAGGGGTATCTCTGCATGCCCACACCACTGGACTTCTAAGAATTTCTCTGAGACAGAAGGCCTTGAATTTTGGTTAGATTAACTTCCCATCTTCTGATGTGCATATATGTTATCAATGAGTTCAGAGTGATTGCTACCTTCTGCTCACTTGGTTCAATCAGCATAATGTCATCAATGTAGTACACCAGTGTGATATTTCATGGAAGAGACAGAGGGGCAAAATCTCTTCTGAGTTATGACACAGGGCAGGAGAGTTAATACATCCTTGAGGTAAAATTGAAAGTGAAAGGGGCTGGAGAGATGGCTCAGCAGTTAAGAGCACTGACTGCTCTTCCAGAGGACCCGGGTTCAATTCCCAGCACCCACATGGCAGCTCACAACTGTCTGAAAATCCAGTTCCAAGGGATCTGACACCTTCACACCAATGCACATAAAATAAAGTTAAATAAACCATAAAAAAATATTTAAAAAAAAAAGAAAGTGAAAGCCAGTTGCTCCTGTTGGTCCGTATGAACAGGTACTGAGAAAACGACGTTTACTAGATCAATAGCTGTATACCATGTACCAGGAGATGCATTAATCTGCCTAAGTGAGGGCACCACATTTGGTATAGCAGCTACAGCCAGAGTCACTGCCTGATTAAGCTTTCAATAGTCACCTGCCATTTTCTACCATCTGTCTTGTGTGCTGACCCGATAGGAGAGTTAAAGGAAGATGTGGGAGCCACCACCTCTGCATCTTTCAAGTCCATAATAGTGACACTGATTTTTGCAGTTCCTCCTGAGTGTGATTTTGTTTTTGGTTCACTATTTTCTGGCAGAGGCAACACCAGTGGCTTCCACTTGGCCTTTCCAACCCTAACAGTCTTCACTGTAGTGATCAGGAACTAATGAGTTCAGTCAGTTTCTGTCAGTTTCTAAGTAGATTCCAAGTATACACCTAAGAAATGAGTACAGGATTTCAGGGACCCACTGGGCCTACTGTGAGTCAGAATCCAGCCAAAACTCCATTAATAGCCTAACCTCCATAAGCCTCTACTTTAACTGGGGGGTGTGTGTGTTACAATGTTGCTTGAGATCTCGCTGAACCAGTATCCAACAGACCCCAGCAAGTCTGAATGCTTCCTTTCCCTCCAGTGTAGTTACCCTTATAAAAGGCCATAAGGCCATAAGGATTTGTGAAGGGCATGTTTTCTGGGCCTTGCCATTGTGGAAGATTAGGTTTTACAAGTACTCTAGCATTGTGATAACTGAGCCTTAAAATCCCTTCATCAACACTAAGACAAGGAATACCAGGCATCTCCAGCTCCCTTTTTAGTGGGCCACCTTTGATTAATGTTTTAGCCAACCATGCACACAAGCTTTTGACACTTTTTTTCGGCAGGGTGTAGCCCTGGCTGTCCTGGAACTCACTCTGTAGATCAGGTTGGCCTCGAACTCAGAGATCTGCCAGCCCCTGCCTCCCAAGAAGAGCTCCTCTAAGAGAGTGCAACAATGGCCAGGCCAGAGACCTAGTGTGTGTCTACATGTGCATTTCCATCTGTAAAATGGAGTTCTAACTCTAACATGCACCCTGCATTGTGGGTGCAGGCCAGAGGAAACCGCTTAAGAAACATTCAGTCAGACCAGGAGTGTTAGAGCACTTCACATACAAATCCTTGGTGCCTGCTGAGGTATGTATTTTTTTTTTAGTTAGAGGTGTATATATATATATATATATATAAAATATATAATATAATATATATATTAGTTGTATGTAAGCATGTGTACCATATGTGTGCTTGTGGACATAAGAAGGATCAGACCCCTTAGAACTGTAGTCACAGGGGTTATAAGCCATTGTATGGGTGCTGGGAACCGAAGTTGGGTCCTGTGCAAGAGCAAGTGGTCTTTACCATGGAACCATCTCCCCAGCCCCTTAATTTTGAGACAGGGTTTTACCATGTAGACCAGACTGAACTGGCTAATCCTCCTGCCCCAGCTTCCCACATGCTGAAATTCTAGGCCTGCAAGATGTTCAAGTATAGATTTCTGGGACTCATATACTATGCTATACCCTACCTTTTTTTTTGGTCCCCCAATTGAATCACACCACTCTTATCATTCCAAGAAATCTTAATTTCTTTATTGTTTGACTTTTTGACTCAACATTTTTTTAAACTTTTTGTTTTTTTCTGAAACGTTCTTATGAGCCTTTTGTTTTGTTCTCGTTAAATGCACTCGACCCAAAATTGGTTTGGCATATCGAAAAGGAGACCAAGGAAAGGGACTAGGGTGTGGGAGCAGGGAGGCCCAAATGGACAGAGAAATTGAGAATGAGGGGGAGGGGAACACAGAGACAGCAAAAGGGACACAAAGAAAGAAGGTGGAGTTAGAAAAACCCAAAAGGAAAAAAAAATGCAGAGAAAAAGAATGAGCAAGATTTAGGAGCAAATGAATTCAGGAGCCCAAGGAAGGGAGTAGGAGGAGACCAAGACCCTTCTTTGTACCGTCCCCGCTGGGTTGGGGGCGTCAAGGCACCAGGTCTGGTTAGGGTAGGGGACACCTGGGCTCTCTGGGTGGCTTTGCGCTGGATTGCAGTGGAACCAGCCCCACTTGGGGACTCGCCATGCTGAGGCCTGGGATTTACTTTGTGCTAGCGATGCCAGCTAGAGTAGGAGCCAAGGCCCTGCTGCAGCACATCCTCTGCTGTCCATTGCCCACATCTGGAAAAGGGCCGTGCAGGGAATGAGGGGGCAGGACTCCTGTGCCTCCAATCCCAGAGGACCTCTTTGCCCGCCCTTTCTCCCAGCTTTATTGATGTCTGATGGGCCTCAGGCCTGGGCCAGTCACTCCACAGAACCACAGTAAGCTCCAGGTCCAGCGGAAGTTAGGCAAGGGCTACAAGCCATTTCCTACTCTTCATGCCTGCCTTGGCAAGACTACCCCATTCTCTCTCCCCCTATCTAGACTTCACTCTTGGTCTTCTGGCAAGATAGGCTAAAACACACTACCAGAAAAAACCAGAGATGGAATAAACCCTGCCTTTTCACATCTGTTCCCCTTCATGGGGCAAACCATTATCTTTGGTCTGGCCCCTTTCCCCCCACATTGATGGGGACAAGCCAGTCCCAGCTCCCCAAAAGGGAGAGGGCTTTCTAGCAGCAAAAAGGGTCCTCCTCGCCATGGATTCACCTCCTGCTCAGCTCCTTCCTAGAGTCCCTCATAACCCAAAGAAGTTCACGGCAGCAGCAAGCTGAGACCCGAGGATGCTTGAAAACGCATGGCACTTGTGAGGAAGGAGGCAGGGAAAAAACAGGGTGAAGTCAGCAGAGGTGTGATTCCATCTCCGGAAGATGGCAGCAGAGTTAATGCTATCCCCCCCAAAACTGGGGGAGGGCAGGCCAGGCTGAAGGGCCAGAGGTGCTAGGCACACACCTTAAGCCTGGCAGAGGGCTTGGGGTGAGGGGTAAGGGTAAGGGACCTCTCACCTTTGTTCCCCCTCTCCCTCAGAAAGACCTCACCACTGCCATTCTGCCCTCAGCCACAGGAACCATCCCTGCCCTCTGCTCCTTTCCCTTGCCCTTCTCAGGATGGGATGCCAGCCTCCTCCTGCCTGCCGTGAGTCCTGAAGTGACATACGAGAAGCAGGAACTCAAAGGGGTAGTGCAGCCATCTCGGCAAAAGCATCTTTGGGTGTGAGGGAGTCTCCTGGCCAGCGGGGGCAGGCAGTGAGGTACACGCCCCAAGAGGGCGGACTGATGCAGGACCACTGATGCAGGACCGACAGAGCAGAGGTGACAGGACCGGTGCCGGGAAGGACAGGTTCTTTGTTTCGCTGTTGCTCTCTGGAGTGTAAAAGCGGCTCTGGCGGCTGCCCGCCCTGGCTGGGATGTACAATACAGGAAGTCCTGGCTGCCAGGGCTGGCCGCTGCTCTGTTCCGGAGAAAGTCCGGGCTGGCCTGGGCTGCAGGTGCCCAGTGGCTTCAAGTGATGAGATTTTTCTTTTCTTACTTTTTTTTTTTTGTCTTTTTTTTTCCTTTTCCGTTTTGTTGAAATATTTACAGCAATAGGGGAGGAAGAGAGAGGGGTAAGAGGACTCCCTATGGAAAGATCCAAACCCAGGACCCACTCCTCAGGGAGCCCCAGACCCCAAATCTGCTCCCCAGATAGCCCAGCCCACAGGACTGGGAACTGCCCAGATATGGCCACCCCAGTGGGTTAGGGGCCCTGCGGGGAGTTGTGCTTCATCGGGAGTCACCCCAAGGGAGGGGGTCATTGGGTGCACTCTGAGGGTTGAGGGGCAGGCTTGCTTGGGAGACAAGGACCGATAGCAAGGGAGAAAGCTTCAGAGAAAGTTCCTCGATAACCACCAGCCCCCACTGCCCATCCCCTGGCCTTGGCCTGCCTGTGGTGCAAGGTCCAGTCTCCAGGGCACAAGGAACCGTAGCACGGGAGGATCCGGCCCATCTGTCCCGCTGCCCCACTGCTCCCCTCCGGTAGATGGGGAGGAGCACCTGATAAACTGGATCCTGCAAGGCTTTGGCCACCTCAAAAGCGGCAACCCCCTAAAAACCTAGGGAAGCCTTATCCCTTGCTCTTCCTCCACAGGCAGGGAGAGTCAGAAGTTGGTCACACCTACCAGCTTCTCCTCTACTCCCAGGGCCCAAGTGCACTCCCCTAGAGAGGCTGGGGCCTGTGGCTGGTGGAAACCCTGTCTACTAACCCTGGCACCTGGGGCCCAGGTCAGAGCCCCAGAAGGGACTGTGGGGCCCACGGGCTGAGGGGCACTTGGAGAGAGTGGCCCACCAGCCACTGCCTCCGTCAGTCTCTGCTCCCACCAGAGCCCCTCCTGGGTTCCCTCCCTGGCCAGGCCCCCCGGCCTCTGGTCCATGAGGCCCCTCAGAGACTGGTGACCAACTGCATCTGCCCGTCCCCATCGGGCCCTGGCCCCTCGAGACTGGGGGCTGCCAGGTAGCCCTCATGGCTGGGCCGCCGCACCTGGTAGTAGCCCTGTAGGGGATTCCGAGCCACCAGGGCCGGCGGGCGGGAGGTGTAGTAGATTTCTGGGGGCCCAGGGGGGGCAGGTGGGGGTGGGGGCAGGGCCTCATTAGGCCCTTCGGGGCTGCTGTCCGGGTAGGAGGGCGAGTCCCGCAGGTTAGCCCCGCTGGCATAGAGGGAGTCCCGGCCGGGAGGTGAGGAAAGGGGCCGACTGGTGGCCCCATCCTCTGCCGTGCAGCTCTCCGACTCATCCAGATCACTCTGGTACAGCACCGACTGGGCCCGGGGCAGCAGCAGTGGCTCCTCCAGGGCCTTGTAGAGAAGTTCAATCTCTGCCCGGTCAGCACCCCCAGGCCCGCCGGCCTCGTCCTCACTGACCCCTGGCACGGGTGGCACAGGAGGCTCCGGTGGAGGCCCTTTGGCGCCCCCACTGGCCCCCCGCAGGTTGTTGTGCACCAGCTCTGAGATGATCATCTTCTCAAAGGCGGCAGCATCGGCCAGGTTCCGACCTCTGGGTGGCTCGGGACCCCCATCCCCTGGAGGGAAATCCCCGCTTCTCAAGGAGTAGCTGTTGTTGAAGTTGCCGTTAAGAGGCAGGGTGTCCATGCCACAGGCTTCCCGGCCTCCCAAGGGGTGCTCTGCGGGGCAGAGGGGGCAGTAAGGAAGGGCCTGGTCACGTGGTAGACAAAGGGAGCACAGAGGTCTGTCCCAAAGCCTCCGGTCTCTCTTTCCTCTCTCCAGTTGGGTGGATCTGCTGCCTAACACAGTCCATGAGGCTGTATAAGGGCCAGTTCACCCAGGGTTCCCTTTAAGTGCCAGAACTTCAGCAAGTGAAGGCCAGTGTAGTCAGGTACACCGACTAGGCTTGGACCCCCCTTTTCATTCCCTACCTGAAGGTCCTCACCTGGCTGCCATGCCAGAGCCTGTGGGAAGGGACACCCTAAGTTTCCAGTCCCTATGAAGCTACAGGAGAAGGGTCTGCCTTTGTCCCCCTCCCCCTCTGGAAGTGCTTCCAGGAGACAGTGGTACTTACTGGGTTCCCTGTAGCTTCCTGTAGATGCCAGCCCGCAAGAGAAGACAAGACAAGAATGAGCTAAGCAGAGGCCCCTCAGGACCTGCCCTTGGGGCCTCCCGACCTGGGACTCTGCTCTTCCCTGGCATCCAGCCAGCCCAAGTATTCTTACCTGGGGAGTTGAAGACTGGGGGCGAGGAAGGATTGAAGCCCACAGACTCTGCAATGAGCGTATTGTATGGGCTAGTTCCCCCACGGGGTTGTAGCACGGGGTTGGTCAGTAGATGATTCCCCATGGTACCTGCCCAAGGGAAGGGTCAGAGGTTACAAGTCAGCCCAGAGACTTGGGACAAGGATCTTCTGAGAGAGGACCCAGGGCTGGGGAGACCTCACCTCGGTTCAGGGTGGGGGTGCTGTTGACGTCACCTGCCATAAAGGAGGACTCTGTCTGCTTCCTCACGGTGTCGTTCCACATCCTCCGGATTCGGCTCTGGGGACACAGCCCAAACATGAGGAGATCTCCAGCACCGCCCTGCCCCTTGGCCCCAGAGGAACACGCTGGATATACCTCCCCTGCTTGGGTACCTGGGTCCCCGTGTAGTATCGGGTGTTACTTCGCATGGCTGAGGTCTTGAGGGAGCCGTGAGTACCCCCAGGCGGGGAGCGGATGCAGCAGTAGGAGTGACGCAGGCACTTGCTGTACTCCTTGTGCACCTGTGGAAGGGGGCACAGCTGACAGTGGGCACTGCACCTTCCTCTTCAGTCATTCTCGGAGCTGGCCACAGAGACTCCGGTCATCTCTGTCCCGGTGGCCAGCTATTCAGGCTATTATTAAGGCCCACTCTCTTTTCTTTACCACCATTGACTTCCCCCATCATGTATTTATTCCCTTATTCTCCAACTCGACACATCTTTAAGGAACATGTCCTGTGTGCCAGGCACAGGGAACATTATGACTGAGCTCCTGACACCCCTGCCCCCACCTCCCCGGTACTAGAACTCTAGGCATGCATCACTGTTCCTAAACCATGGTACTGGGGATGGAACACAGACTTCATGTATGCTAGGCAAGCGTTCTACCGACTCAGCTACATCCTCAGCCCTCATGTAGTTTGCAAGAAAAAATTTTATGTGTATGGATGTTTTGCCTGCATGTATGTGTGTGCGATACACTTGAAGTCAGACAAGTGTTCCCCTGGAACCATTCCTTATATCATTACAAAAATCAGTTCTTTTTAGAACAGTTATGGCAGAAATCTTAATACTGTGGCTACCAGTTTTCTGCCACTTAGGGCTGTACCTGCTCTGTGCTGCGACTCCTTTGTATTTGCTTTATTTCTGGAATCTTTTTACTCCTGTCTGAATCCCCCTAGCCCCATCAGACTCAGATGGTTCCACAGAAGGCAGGTGCCCAGGGGACACACTGAGGGCCAAGGTGCACCCAAGTCCTTTCATTCTGGGGTCCAGAATGTCCAAGGCGAGCTCCGCCACCCTTACCTTTTTCTGTAAGGCGCAGTGAAAGACAAAGATGAAGACCCCCTGGAAGGCGTTGAAGGTAGTGAAGAGATAGGCCATGACTACAGACTCCTTGTTGATGAAGAGGAGGCCGAAAGCCCAGGTGAGGCCCAGCAGGAAGAGCAGCGCAATGGCGCCCAGCGCCCAGGACCTGGTGGAAGACAGCCCAGCCCCAAGGCCTCCAGGTTGACACTGAGGGTTGGCTTCAGGTGACGGGTCGTTCCCTGCCAACTTCATCACTTTGGCCAGATTTCCAGTCCACACAAACTCCCTTTGTGGCCCAGTTTTCAAGGTGCCCTCAAAGAGACTCACACTAAACCTGCAGTGCAGGCCTGAAAGCGCAGGCTGGATGGACTGCCACACTTTCTGACCCTGCTGCACAGGGCCCACACCATGCACAAACCCCACCGCACAGCACCAGAGGTGAACACAGGGTTCCGGGAACCCCGAGGGCCCAGGGTGAGGGCTCACTTGATGTTGTCAAGGCGGCTGGAGTCAGGCTTGAGCACTGAAGAGCTCCGGATCATCTTGTGCAAGGTCACCATGAGGAACACCAGGTTCACCTGGGTAGAGAGTACAGGAAGGGCTCAGTCTCTGCTCCAACCCCTTCCTCAGGGCCTTCTCTGCCTATGAGGGCCCAAAGTGCCCACTACCTGCATCTGCTACTTGCTGTCACTGCTGTGAGGATAAGGTTCATGGTTTGGCATGAAACCACAGCTGCTGGTGCACTGGTCTCAGTGTTGAAGACTATGGACTTTGTTGGCCTGGTCTTTTTAGCTACAGCTCAGGCGTGTGTGTGTGTGTGTGTGTGTGTGTGTGTGTGTGTGCTTAGAACTAGAACCCAGGGCCTTTTGCATAGTGGGCAAGTGCTCACCACTGAGCCACGCCCTGGTCCCTGTTTGAGTCTGACAGATTTTTACACCAATGCCGTTTTTGAAAAGCTGGCAAGAGGCCAAGATTAGGGTCAAGACCAGCCTGGATGAAAGGAGCCCCGGTACCTGGAGTGCCACTCACCACAATGACAAAGGAAACAGGCCCAATGAAGCTCCAGATGAAGTAGTTGTCAACTCTCAGCCAGCAGCTAAAATGAAACACAACCAGAGTGGAGAGATGCCTGAAAGACTGGCCACCCCAGCCCTGGCCCAAGGAAAGCCAGCCACGCAAGAGCCAAACAGACGAAGACCACGGGGATAACAGAGACACTCACGCCTTCTCGGTGCCATAGCTTCGGTAGTCAATGGCGGCTGCGATGCCTACCACCAGGGCTGGGAAGCAGTAGCCGCCCAGGTAATAGTACTTGGTGCGTGAGTATTCGCTCTCAAACACTTCCACCAGCAGCAGGTAGAGGTGCACACCTTCCAGGCACAGCCAGGAAAAGGCGGCCAGGAAAAAGTAGTGCAGCAGGCCCGCGAAGATGGGGCAGGCAACCTGGGAGAGCACATCAGTAAGAGTCCGCTCCACCAGCTGCGGCCCCTCCCACCACCCAGCCTCGCCCCAGGTGCTGCTCACCTCATACTGAGTCTTGTCTATTCCAACCAGGAAGAGCAGCTCCGCAAGGAAGAGGTTGATGCACAGGTTCTTGTGGATGGTGTTACGGTCGGTCTGCAGGCCTCGCAGGAAGCAGAAGGTGGAGATACAGATGGCCAGACAGACCAGGGAGATGACAATGCCAACCCAGGTGATGACTGACAGCAGCAGCTCATTGATCCGGCCCTGGTACTAGGGGACAGGAGTAGGGAGGCACTCAGGGCTTGGCCAGGTGACAGCTGCAGGTAAGGACCCAGGCAAGGCTGTGGGCCACAAGACCCTCCAGTGCTACCCACCCAGCCACCGAGCCGGCCCCCACCCCTGTGCAGGCAGCGCAGCTCACTTCCTCATGCTCTGGAAGGCGTGTGGAGAGAAGACAACTGGGAGACCAACTGCCTTCCCTAGAGTGCCTCGGGGCCAGAGGGAGCCAGATGCAAGGCCTCATGCCCTAGGCAAGTCTGGGGGCCCCCATGCCCATGAGCTGGCCTCACAGGCATCGCCCATGCTGTGCGCTCTCTAGGGTGCCATGCAAAGCCAGGCCAGCAGCAAGCAGGCCCGCCCGGAGCGCCGGCCAGCTTACGATCTCTCGGTGAGCCATGAGCACTGCGAAGTTGGTGAGGTGGCTGCAGGCACATGTGGTATGGGTCTTATTGGACTCCACCAGGCGGCAGCCCTGGGTTGACCAGTAGCCCAGCATGGAGCGCTCTGAGTAGTTCCAGAAGGAGCAGTTTGCATTGAAGTGGTTCTTGGCCTGTTGTATGGTGGTGGACAGGGTGTCAAAACTGCAAGCCCTATTCCTGCCCTCAAAACCAGCTACAGGGACAGTGACAGGTGTGAAGGAAGTGCCTAGGGCCCGAGGTGACCACCAGCTCTTTGGGACATATGGTCCGAGCTGAAACTTACTCTCAGGTGGGTGAACAATGGTGGGGGATATGTAGTCCAAGAACAGAGGATGCTGGGACCTTCAGTGAGGGAGGGGTACACCTGAGCTCACCTCCAAGTGAGCCACAGTAAAGATGACAGGGTCCATGAGGAAGACGCGACTTGATTCCTTATTGATGGATGCTGCGATGACCTGTGAGTTCACCACCAGGGAGGCGCCTCCAGGGCCACCGGTCCCCGTCTCGCCTGCCAGCTTCACTGTGGCATTCTCCGTGGACAAGAACAGGCCCAAATTGTTGTAGAGAATGAAGACAACCTTGACCACACCTGAGGAAGATGGGCACAGGGCAATATAGCGGCCATCCTCAGCCGCACACTTCTGTCTGGGCTGTGGCCAGGACATACAGGCTGGCTCTGACCCTCTAATACTTTCTGTGTGACCTTGGGCAGATTCCCTAATCTCTCTGTGTGTCTCAGCCTCAAATGGCAAAACATCTCCTAGAGCCTCTACAGGGCTCTGGGACATCCATACTAACAGCAGATAAACCATGATTAAAACACATGACTGTTGTGTTCCAGAGAGTCAAGATCAAGGTACCAAGTGGGCAGTATGCACGTGCTTCTGGACAAACCCCGTGGGACACTGACCGTTGCGGCTATTCTGCTTGATGGTGTTGGCAGACAGCTGGATGGAATTCTCGCTGGGATATTCCTGGGGAAACACCAACTCCTGCACTTGACCCTCTGTGTTCAGGACAGTCACCTCCAGGACTGTGGGAGCAGAGGCAGAAAGGATGTTATCAGTGTCCATCCCCAGACAGGGTTCATGCTGCACCGTGAGGCCTGCAGCGAAACCACACCCCCGGAGTTTGGGATTGGCCCTGGGGTGGCTACAGTACTCACCCACATTCTGCTTGGCAGCTAAGAAGCGAGCGGGTTCCCTAACATTGTCAGCTAGCAGGAAGGCCCCTTCCTCCAGGACGTCTAGGAGCATGGTGGCTGTATGCACCTGCTCTGTGGCATTCATGTCTTTCCAGGACTCAAGTGCCTCTGGCCGGAGCAGGTTGTCCACCGTCTCCACCACGGCCTGTGTGTAGCAGGGACAATACCATGAGTCCCCCACATGCTTAGTTCCTTGGGATAGTCTTAATGTCCTCTTCTCTCTCCTCCCTCCATCCCCACCATCAGTATCCCACTGGGCTCACCTTGATATAATCCTTGCAGGTTCTCTCTCGCTTGTGCATCTGGAGAAAGAGATGGAGGTAGTGATGGGTGGGGACTCCAGGCACTGCTCCCCGAGCCACACTGCTCAGACTCTGGGGCCCTGAGACCTTACCTTCCTCAGGAACCCCGCCTCTAAGGACTGCTCAAGGCAGTGCGGCGGTGAAGGCCAGCAGCCCCTGGGGTATTGTGTCCCTCACTGGTCACTGGGGTGGCAGAAGGTAGAGATGCCTACCTTGTTGTAGTTCTTGCCAGCTGACTCGCGCTCAATGGGCCGGAGGGCCTGGAGCTGGGCATCCAGGATGTCTAACAGTTGTTCCATCAGCTTCACTGATGAGGACACATCCCCAGCGTAGATGGAGCCCCGTGTATGGCGGGCCAGCTCACTAGCAATGTTGGCTGCATTCTCTCCACTCTTAATCTGCGTGAGGCGGGGAGGAAGGGAGCTCAGGTCTTCTGGGCACTGGCCTTCCCTGGTCCACATTCCCTCTTCACCTGCCCTCTTCTCCCTGCTAGCCTTTCCCACACATGGTCAGGTAAAAGGATGCCCCTTGCCCTATATGTCTCCCAAGCCATTTCCACTTCTGCTGACCCTGGGCTCTGGATAGCCTGCCTGCAAGGGGCAGCAGTTAGTGGTACCTTCTGGGCTACTTGGTTGACCCAAGGGGAGGTGCAGTTACTGAGGTCAGGACCCCGAGGATTCCAGAGCCCCAGAGCAGGGAGACACTGGAACGAGGCAATTCCTGTAGAGACGGACAAGAAAGTCAAAGAGAAGGGAATGAGGAGGGGCAAAGAATGAGAGAGGAGACAGCAGAGGACGAGGAGGGACTTGGGAAAAGCTACTGGGTAGCCCACCCTAGCCTCCTAGGCAAGATGGGGTGTGGAAGGTTTTCTCCACAAAGCCTCTCCCAAACTTCCCTGAAACCTCAGAGCACCTAGGCTGCTTATCTGTCCCCACATCTGTCCTGAAACTGGCTTTGCTACTTTAGTCTGAGGCGGGTAGCCGGATTATTGGCAGCTCCCCAGGTGCTCAGCTGCAGATGGCACCTGTATAGCTAAGCTGTGTGTCTCCCAGCCCTTCACGGTCAGTTGTGGCCCCAGCACTCACCTCGCGTTCCCTTGGGGCAAGGCCTCTCCACCAGCATACCCTGTTGGGTGGCTGGCCACTGGACCCGCCGGACCTCTCGGGGTTCACAGAAGAGCTCAGGGGACACATGCAGATTGGGAGCTGGGGGCCGCCGGGTGCTGGGCGCTGGGGCTGTCGCTGGAGGCAGGTCAGGTCCCAGCTGGTTAATGGCACCCACTGGGTGTGTGGTGAGGGGTGCCCGGCGGAGTGGAGTGGTGGCTGCAGGCGAGGCCGTGCTGGTGAGTGGCGTGGGCCGAGCTGTGGTAGTGGTACTGAGAGGTGGAGAAGTGGCTGGGCCTGGGAGGTAGAGAGGACAGGACTGGGTCACATCCATGCCTAAGGCCCACCAATGTGCCCAAGCACAGGGTCCCTTAGCGTCTTGATATCTTATTACTCATTGATGTGGAAAGCTGTCCTGGGCCTCCTGACCTTTCCTGTGCTCAGAGGTGCCCTACACTCATGAGTCCACACTCAGGAGAAGGTGAAAATGTACTACTATGTACCACAAGGGGTCTCTCCCAGACCGGGACTGGAGATGTGTGTCAAAGCTGCAGGCTATGATGCCGCTCATCTGTGACACAGCTGATTGAGGTCAGGAACCTGGCTACATTTTCCCTTAGGGGTACTCAGTCCCCCTCTGCAAAGGTTGGCTAAGGCTCTCTAGAGCTCTGGGGTTGCTCTGGGTTAGTGATGGGAACACCAGCTGGAGGCAAAATGAGACTACAGCAAGCATCTAATCCTGCACCCTCTAAGCAATCCCACAAGAATGTGCCCAGGCAACACATATCACTGGGTAGAGCCCAGCATCCTGGGGTTCAACCCTCAAGCATCACAATCATCCCTCAGTAAAACAGTGCCTTGACGACAGTAGGTATGTTGAAGCAGCAGCTGTGAGGGATGTGGACAGTGTTTACCACAAACTGGGATTTTTCTGTATCTCCTAATCCTCAAGAGCTTACAGTGGGCCCTACATTCTGGTACCAAGGGTAACGGATGCAAAGAGGCCTACACCCCTCAAACCCTCTCACCAGCGCTGGGGTCTGGGGGTCCGAATTCCAGGCTGTAGCGCACCACAAAGTAGTTGTTCCACACGTACAGCTGGTTGTCCCGGGGATTGTAGTCGACAGAGGAAACAAACTGGTAGGGGTTGGGGAAAGCGAGACTGACGGGCTCCTCCCGGTTCGCATTGGTGTTGAAGGCGTAGTCCACACGGTTGCCCGCGGCCTCACTGTCGTCATCCACATACACGGAGCGCAACACGTAGAGGACCCCGCACACCATGAAGGCATTGGAGGCCGAGCGCTTGTCGTAGCCCGTTTCCCATGTGCCCTCAAAGCGCAGCGTGTAGGGGTTGAGCTGGCTCACCACCAGGCGCCCGTTGTTGCCCTCAGTGGCATAGATGACCCACAGCCCGTTCTCATCCACCGCCAGGTCAATGTCGGTCTTGCCTCCCCAGCGGTAAGGCGAGGTGTCATGGTAGTTGGCTGTGTTGATGACTGTCTCACCGCTCTTGATGCGGGTCCGCAGGTCATACTTGACGATATTGCGCGTGCGCTCCTTGTTGTAGAAGACTGCGCCGTCGTAGACCACAAAGCCAGTGCCATCCACACGGTTGGGCAGTCGGTACGTGGTGGTGTGGCGCGCAGCCACATAGTCCTCCCACGAGGCATATTCAGTCAGTGTGTCCGTGCGGTAGGGGATCCAGGGCATGACGTAGATACGGTCACCTGCCTGCAGCGGGTCCTTGCACCAGGCACCAGACTGGTGCTCTGACTCATGTGTGGAGGTGGGCTCCAGTACCTTCTGCAGAGTCCCTGGGCACACGAAGACTGGGCCGGGTGGGTGGGTAGGCAGGGAGGAGGTGGGGAGGAGCAGAGGCAAGGAGAGAGGGGAGAGAGAGGCAAGTTGGTCACACGGTGGGGGGAGGAAACCATGCTGTCCCCTCCTGCTGCTGCAGTCATGGTTGCTTGGTCGGGCTGGTGATGGGAAGGGGGTTTGTGGGCCGGGAATCCCGCCCTGCCCAGCTGCCCCTCTCCCTGGAACTGTGAACCCTGGAGACCATCAAGAGCAGGGTTAGTGTGGGGAGGTGGTGCCCTCTTCCCTTCCTTGGCTGCTAGAGACCCCACAGGCTGGGGACGAAGGATTTGGCCAGAGCTCTCCCAGACTGGGCACAAAGGGGTGGGATGTGGGGATCTCTGCTGCAGTGCCACCTAGCCTCAAGGTTCAGGTATCAGCACCCTGGCCTCCCTTTTCTGCCTCTGTGGAAGAACTAGGGGCTGGGATCCCGTCCTTCACCAACCATGCAGGAATGGACTTAAAAAACAAAACAAAACAAAAAACCACTTCACTTTCTTCCTCCAAAAGCTGTAAGGGAGAGTGATGTTTCCACACCCACTCTGGCAGGGAGGCTTAGGGCTGTCTATTCTCTCCTCGGGCCCCTGCTGCTGTCTGGGCTCCACTCAGCTGGTACCCGTCAAAGTAGGTAGCTGAGGAAAGGATGGAGGGAAGCAGCTCCCAGGTTAGGCTAGGGAGAAGTCCAGTCCTGCCCCAGCCGGCAGGGTCTCTGGTGGGTCAGGCTCAGAAGCACACATTAACACTGGTGCACAAGGGTAGAGTGGGGACACTTGGGGTGAGGGAGCTGCGCAGAGGGAAGAGAGACAAGGAGGGGTGTGTGTGTGTCCACAAGTCCTGGCTCCAAGGGAGGCGCTCTGGAGACCACCTGGGAAGAGAAGGTTAGTGCTGGCGAGGAGAGAGGGGGTGAGCAGAGAATTCACTCCAAGGCCCAGGCCCGACTGAGTGTCCCTTCCTGGGGCAGTCCCAGGTCCAGCTCGGAGGGGGCAAGGGAGGGAACCAGGTGCTAGGATAAAGCCCCAGCCCACCCCAGCCAGCCCCCCACCTCCCCTGCCCCGGACCCCGATTTACCTGTGACCATCCCCGGCTCAGGAGGAGGGACCAAGGCAGCGCTGATGTCAGAAAGGTGGGGGGCCCCGCCCCACCCCCCCATTCCCTGAAAAGAGGAAAACCTCGACTGCATCTCGTTGGCACCACTGGCCTGCCCACCCTCGCCCCTCACAGCCCAGCACAACCTGTTCCTAGCCTACCCTGGTGGTCCAGCAGGTTAGTGTGGCCAACCCCCTCTTCCCTGAGTACTGAGGGACAGATGCCCTTCCCTTCAGGAGGGCTGCCACCTCCCTCTCATTTCTCCATCACGGACCCCCACAGGCAGGCCAGGACTGCAGGGTGTGTGCTTGTGGGTCTATGGTGAATTCTCTGCTCCTGCTTGGCCCATCACCAAAGCAGCTAGCCCCAGGGACACAGGGAGGGCTGGGATGACTTGGCACCAGCATGGTGGGCAGCTTCAGTAGTGAGGGACCCTTGGGTAGGAGCCAGGCCTAGTGCCTATTTCTAGCCTGGCCCATCAACAGGCTGACTGGTTGGGAGATGGGAGCGATCTGTAGCCCCCATTACAGTACTAGGGCAGCTTGGCTCTAGGTTCCTAGGCCCAAGGCAGCCAGTAGCAGAGTACTTTTAGCATAAGTTAACCCTGGGCGTAAGCCCTGGCATTCCTATCAGCTATGTCCGTACCCTCTGACCAGACTATCAGACTATCCGGCACCCGCCCTTTTTTCCCTTCTCCAGGTACCCCATAAACCCCCTGCTAGGGGTATGTGTTCATGAAGAGGGCCTGAGCTGGTCAGAGGGTACCAGGGGAGGAAAAATACAGTTAGAGGTCATCCCAAGGAAGGGGAAGAGATAAAGAAGGGTCTGCCAGGGGTCTTGGGCAGCAAGAACCCTACCTCAGCACCCAGCTCCCAACACCTCTTCCCTCCCCCAGCCCAACCCAGAGAGGAGATCCAGTGCCGTAGTTCCAAGCCTGCAAGAAGAGCGGCCAGTGCAGGGCTGACTCAGGAGAGCAAGGGAGGGACGGTGCCCAGGCCTCTGAATGGGCAAGGCGGGAAGGAGGGGGAGGGGAGCAGCTCAGAGGGGCCCCGCCCACCTCCCTGGCAGGGAATCCTCCACAGACCACCTTAATTTCAAGGCAAAAGGGACCCTGAAGGGCCATCTCATTGTTTGTCCATTGCCTCCTGCCCTCTTACTAGCAGGTCCCCCTCCACTCCCTAGATAGCCACACCTACCACCATGGGACTCCCTGCAAGAAATTATGGGGCCTGTGGAAGTCCCCAGAGCAAGTCTGTGACCCCCACCACCCCTCCCTGGTCCTCTCCCACATCAGCCCGGAAGAAACCCTGACTGCAGCTTTGCAAGTGTGCCGAGACAGAACCCACTCCACCCTCTCCAGGAGGCCCGCCCCCACCCCCGTCCTCCCAGGGGCTTGGGATAGCTGACAACCCTCCCCAGGACTGGACCCGGCTGGTCAGAAGGGGTGGAAGGTGGAGGCTTGTTTCCCTGCTCCACAACAGCTCTGGGCCTTGAAAACGCCAAATCAGAAGAATTTAAGCCACCAGGAGCCAGAGAGAGATGAAAAATCTGGTCCCCCAAAGGAAAAAGTGTCCCCTCCATCCCACCACCCTCTACCAGAAACACTTTGCAAAGGGTACAAGGGGACAGGAGAGGAGAGAGAGGAGAGGAGAAAGAGTAAGAGGGAGGGAGGAAGGGAAGGAAAGACAGAGAGACCGAGGAAGGAAGAGAGACCTCTACCGGTGCCTGTGGAGGCTGGGGAGTCCCTCCCTCCCCACCCGCCTGGATGCTTACACATTTCTCCTAAGGGAGGCAAAAGAAATGAGAGATGAGGTCAGGTACCCTGCAGGGACCAGGGACCAAAAGAGGTATAGAGAGAAGTGAGAGGAGAGAGAGAGAGAGAGAGAGAGAGAGAGAGGTGAGAAGAGAGAAAGAGAGGTGAGAAGAGAGAAAGAGAGGTGAGAAGAGAGAGAGAGGTGTAGGAGTGGGGTGAGTATCTTGCCCAGGCTCAGAGAGGAGCTTCGGTGAGTATCTGGAAGGTGGAGAAGCCCACGGCCTTGACCTTGGCCTTGGTGGTGCTGCAGCACCAGGGCCAGCCCAGCTGTGCTGGGAGGACACCCGGGGCAGGGAAATCACTGGACCAAGTGAGGGTGGGGGAGAAGAAGGGGTGGGAGGGAGGGTGGGCCACATGAGTATGGTACAGGTGGAACAAAGTGTGAGTTAGGGGTTAGCATTGGTAACAGTGCGTTTACCTTTCTGCTCCACTTCTACTTTAAGCATCGGAAGAGAGAGAGAAAACAAATTGAAAAAAAATGTGCAAGAAAAAAAAGAGAAAAAAAGATTAAATTGCTTTCGTTTCTTTTCTGGCCACACGCCCCCTCTTCCTGTCTTTCCTCCTGCTTTCCCAACCCCTTCCGTAGTATCATTTCAGCCCCCACCCCCAAGTGCCTTTATCTGGGGTGGGATGGGTTGAGAGGGTGCTGAGGAGACAGTGAGAAGGGACAGGGGAGACACACAGGAGGGAAGAGACGAAAAGACTGGTATGGTACAGACAGGCAGGTGGACAGAATCCTCAGGCAGGAGGGCCCCGGCTGTAGAGAAGAGCCCTTGCTAGGAGCTGAACTCTAGCTAGGGGGATACCAGGCAGTGGGGAATATAGGAACCACAGGGCTCCTCCCCACCCTGTGTGTTACCCCCCTGCTAGACTCAGGGGCCGAGGGAAGGGATTTAGTGTCTCTAGGGCCTGGGTACCCCTCCCAGCAGAGAGCACAGGCTGAGCCCCTTCCCCTTTGAGTAGGCCCCACCTGAGTCCAGCTGTGTTCCCCTAAGCCCTCCAGACCCCTGAAACGCACAGAGAGGGCTGTAGAGCCAGACACAGAACAACAGAGGCAGGCAGGCAGGCGCCCCTGGCCTCGGACAGAGCCAGGGTAGGGGAGACAAGAGGCACAGAATTGGAGGGGACACAGACTGGGCTGGACAGCATGTGGCAGACAGGCTCCTACACTCCCCAAGGGGGGGGGGCCTCAAGGTTCAGCTGCTCTGCCCAGTCCACCAAGGGCCCAGGAGCCCTAGCTGCACCCTGCCCTGCCCACCGCCCTCGATGACGCACGGGTGGCACCTGGGAAGGAAGGGAGAGTTAGGCTGTGCTCAGCTGCAAAGCAAATCCAGTGTTAGTCCAATGTCTGGGGTTCCCACACTCTGGTGACCCCCAGCTGTGGGATCCCTGCCCCCAACCCTGCCCCACCTTGGCCAGCACTGGGGTCACCCCAGCCCCTGAAGCCCAAGGCCCTTTGGCTGACTGCTTGAGTTTTGTAGGGAGTCTGTCTGACTCCCCAGCGCCTTGCCCAGGACCTAGCCCTCAGGACATGCTCAGGGAAAGTCATGAAGTGTGTGCCTGGCTTCCTGAACCCCAACCCTAATAACCTGGGGGGCCGGGAGATAGTTTAACTGCGCCTACTAGCTCTACCTGAACAAGAGCACCCGTGGCTAGCCCTATCTATGACACCCACCCCGTCTTCTAAGGCTCAGCTTTGCCTTCTCAATCTAAAGCTGACATCCCCTGCTCTGTGCTGCCTTCAACCCCACAGACCATCTTCCTGGATTATGTTCCTGGGCCACACGAAGGGGCTTGGCTCTAAGGATCCAAGCTCCATCCCAGGACCCGTGGCCTCTTTTTTTCTTGTATCTCAGTTTGATCTTTGGACCTGGACCAGGGGCTTTTTCCAGTCATGTGTCCTGTCTGCTCTAGAGAGTTGGGATCATTCTATGTTGCTATTCATGTTTTGATTATCATGGCAATAATAGTAACTGGTTAGAAGGGAAGTATGGCCACAGTGACAGCAACCAGTGCTCATGAGGGCGCGGGAACAGTGCAGGCCCTTGCAGCCAGGCCTTCCAGGACCCTGTCTACAGCTGGGGAAATTGAGGTTCAGAGAAGTTAAACCACACAGAAGAGGCCATGCAGCTGCAATTCTCTTAGAACCTATGGCCCGGGGCACAAAGCAGCTTGGAACCCATGCTGTCTCTATTCCTGGAAGCACTCAGGGCAGGCCTCTGACCCCCTCCCCCACCACAGAGGCGTTAAGAGGCTCAGGTGGCGGGAAAGCGCGTCCGCGTCCGTACCATCACTGAGCACATCTTGAACCAGGCTCGGGGCTGGGCGCTGGGGGGTGAAGTCGCAGCCTCTGCCTTCGGGGTTTTGCTCCTGGGAGCAGACTCTGGCCTCAGGGCCGAGCGCTTGTCACTCCCGATCTCCAGGACTCACGCCTCCGTCTGCAGCACCCAGAGAAATTTTAAGTCATTTGCTGCAGGTTTCAGAGCCAGACAAGTCAGGAGCCACGGTTGAACCTCACGCCACCTGCCCAGCTCTCTGTCCTAGGCACACGTCACTCCCACCTCCCACCCTGCTGCCCCAGCTGCGAATGGGCAGTGTCCCCAGTGCTGTGGGGAGGCTTCGGGGAGCAGATGGGCATCCCCCTCAGGCACTGAAAGGAAAGGGCAAAGACTAAAAGAAGAAAGTTACACAAGCGGTAAGTGATCCTGTTCACCCATCGTCCCGGCTTCACCTGCAAGGAGAAATCAGAGGTTGGAGGGGTAGGGATGGGGGAAGCTGGGTGGGAGGGGAGAGGAGGCAGAGTTATGAGGTCTCCTGCTCCCCTACCCCTCACTTTGACACCCCAATGGTCCTGCCTCCTCCCCTTTTGCCTAGAGGCCCTCCCTACCTCCAGGCTGGCTATGAGAAGCCAAGTGAGAGGACGGATGGGGCGATGGGAGGGAGGAGAGTGGGCAGGAAGACTGGTGATGCTGGGGCGTGGGGGCTGAGGATGAGCAACCCTGTCTGTATCTGCTTCCCTCAGTCAGATGTATGATAGTCAGGCTCATGGCTCCCCAAAACCATCTTCTTAGGGGGTACTGTCATTCCAATATGGCAGTGCTTCCTTTGCAGACAGGAAGTGTTCTCAGGGTGATAGATAAACCAACCAGTAGTTAGGAACCTTGGAAGATATCTTTGGCTTCCATGATGTGAAAGGGACAGGAGAGGTGTGTGGAGGAGGATGAGAAAGATCAGGTGTGTCCACGGTCAGGAGAAAGGGCAGAAAACAGGAGGGAGGCACAGCGTTCAGAAGGCCAGAGAGATGCCAGCATGCTGTGGGAATGCAGCCTGGAAGGGCTTTAGCAACTAAAGGACATGTGAAGCAGAGGTGGGCAGGGGACTAGAACTGAAGATGCCCCCACAGGAAGGGACACAGTCTGTGTGGCAAGTGTCTGAAAAGAACGTATCCAAGTGGGAGCAAGCCTGCTATCCTCTGGGCCCAGCCCCATGGATGTGTGCACACGTGTGCTAGATCAAGGTGTTCCTTCCTTGCTCTGTAGGGGAAGGGCCCGAGACAGCATGAGGAACAAGATGACTCACTGTAAGGGACACAGTCGTACTGCACCTCCAGGTACTTGTAGGTTCCAGGACAGGGGTCAGGAAAGGCATCGGAGCCGGCCACCACCACACACTGGGTTCGGTTATTACACCTACAGAAAAAGGAAAAGGCGTTAAGGAAAATGATCAGGCCTGGAAGGCTCCAAGGTCAGGAGGCAGGTATACGGCTCCAGTTGGGAAGGTGTGTGTGTGTGTGTGTGTGTGTGTGTGTGTGTGTGTGTGTATGGGGGGGCGGGAGGGCTTTTTTGCTTCCTGCCTGTTTTCTTTGCCATAGGCCTCCACAGTCATGAGGCAGGTTCTCCTGGCACTAGTACATCTTTGGCATTTTTCTTTAATTGAATTTAAAGCCCGTGTGCCAGTCACTAAAAACACACCACACACACGGTGGGCACGTTTGCTGACACACTGTCCACAGGAGACTATGGGCCTGCTGTGTCTGCCTTGGCTCTTCCTATGGACACTGCCACACTCTGGACAGTGACTGAGACCTGCAGTGGCACAGCCAAGAAGACTCTTGAATCTCCACAGGGGTCCCCGACCCCAGTCCCTGCTAGTCACTCCGGCGTCTGGCTAGCATGGAAAAGGAGGACTACTTCACAGCTAGAAGACACCGTCCCAGACACTAGTCCTCATCTAGTGGCTGCGCTCACATCCCACAGACTGTCCCCACCTGGAGGGGCATCTTCCGTTCTGGTCGCCAGCACACCCACTCCCGGTTTCTTCCCATTTGTTACTGCTGCCTGTGCCCAGTCAAGATGCCTGCAACGGTTCACTCTCACTGGGAGCTAGACTGGATTTAGAACTGCCTCAGAGATTGGTTAGATATGCTTTAAGGTGTGTCTGTGAGGGTCTTGCCAGAGGGGATTAACTCAGGCAAACAGATCTACCCCAAATGTGGCCACTCCATTTCATGGCCCGAGGGCCTTGACTAACTAATAAAAATGAAGAGGGGCAGGAGGCAACAGAATGCCCACACTTGCTTCTTTGCTTCCTACAGCCATGATGTGAACCATGGTCTCTCTCTCTCTCTCTCTCTCTCTCTCTCTCTCTCTCTCTCTCTCTCTCTCACACACACACACACACACACACACACACCCCTGCTACGATGGACTG